TGCAGTCATCAAGGTGGAGGATGTGGAGTTTAAAGTCCACAAAGTCATCCTGAGTCCCTGCACACCGTATTTCCAGTGAGTTGGTTATCAGGCATCGGGGGGAACTGATGTATTTTAGTCCGTTAAATAATCACATCAACATGGTTTTGTTGTAATTAATGATGTGGAGCCTGAGAAACAACATTTAAACTGAATCATGTAGCATCTGTGATTAAACAGGTTTCCCACATAGAGCTGTGTAAAAGAAAAACAGATCATAAATCCTACATAATGGACATAAAAAAAAGAAAAAGTCACATATTTCATTTGTTAATGATTAGTTCAGACATTTACCAACAGCTGATTTCATGTTTTCTCAGTCAGTGGGTGAAGATACCAGTTTAGAAGAAATGTCATTTTTACAAACACTGAACTGATTCAGACAGTGTTTTAAGTTCATCTTTGAGTTTCACCAGGTCTGATAATATTGTTTTTTAAAAAAAATATTAATCACATAGAAATTGTAAAATCGATTTTTCATCAATCATTTATCGGTACTCTAACTTGAGCAGGTGTTTTTCAGGGTTTCCCACCAGAGTTGAACTTCAACATTTTAAGGCATGTTATTACACCTTTATAAACATATTGGTGAAGAAGTTGTTTGGTAACGATTTAGTTGACAGATTTGTGAAAAATCTCATAAAATGCCTTTACTAAAAGTAATTAACTTGGTGTTGAGCTCCACAGATCCTGGCAGTGCATGAAGACTCTTGTGTTCACTCTTGAAGCCAGCAGCAGAACATCTGGTGAGTTTTGGGCGTGGTTGAGACGTTTCAGAGTGAGCAGAGGCAGCTGGTGGATGTAAATAAACCTGGTGGGCTGCAGCTCATTCTGAATTAATCACCTGGAAGCAGTGAGGGGGCGGAGCTATACAAAGATCGATGACGGTCGGTTGGTCGTGGTGGTAAACAGCATTTAGGTAACAGCTAGTTGATGTAACAGATGTAACAGCTCTTACTTTATTTTCACCATGTGAGATGTTTAAAGCTTTGACTTAAAATGACTCCACAAACCAAAGATTAATCATTTAATTATAATGGTGATGCAATTCTGAACACGGTGCTCAAATATTAGAACTGATCGTACCTGTGTGATTTCAGATGTGACATAATCTGAAAGAATGTTGGTTTTGATTTGAGTCTTGGATTTGGTAACTTGACCTGAGACTCACCTGGTGTGTCTCCTTGTTTTCTTCTAACACCTGCAGAGTTTTAAATAAACCTGATTTGTCTTTAATCTGCTGAATCTGACCTTCAACAGATTCAGCATGAAGCTCCTGAACGCTGCTCCTCTTCAGCTGGCTGTTGTTTACCAGCTGCTTCTCTGCTGCCACCTACTGGTTAAGGTCAACCTCTTCCTGGCAGATTTCCCAGGCAGCTGACAGGTCAGTGAACGCACCGCCTGCAGTCAGTACTTCCAGAGTGAGTCACCAGAGTAGTCGCTGACGTTTACTGACACTTTGTGCTTCACTTTGACTCAGATTTGTTCTGAGTCAAAGTCAATTATTCGATTAACTGATAAGATGAAACTTTATCGATCCTCTCGCGTGGGACTAATTTACGACTGAGCAGTAAGTATTAGCAATGTTCATGATTAATTTCATAATAAGGCGTCACTGCAGGCCTTTCCAACAACATTACATCATCATTTTATTGTTTATTACATTTAGTTTGTATATTTTTAAATTAAAGTTATTACATAAATGTAGTGTTGAGTAAAAAGTACAATTTTTGTCATGAAGTAGAGAATCGCAGAAAGTGGAAATACTCCAGTAAAGTGCAAGCAACCCAAAATTACACTTTGTAAAGTTTGCAGGACCACATCTGTGTTGGTTTTCTGTTCCAAAGACCAATTAAAAACCAGAAATTACCTAATTTACACAAGTGACTTTGGAGTCCAAATAAACTATTTGAGAAGCTCAATTAAGTCGCTTCAGAGAATAAATTTAAACATTTAAGACCACTCGTTGCTGATTTGAGAGTATCATTTTTATAATTCAAGTATAATTTATTCATTCAAGCGTGTGATTAACGTCAGCGTCAGTGATTTATTGGCACGTTTTAATCATTTCAAAGCACAAATAAAGTTACTTGAGGGTGCAAGTCTGTAAAATCAGACGTCTCCGGTTCAAAAATATTGACAGAAATCTTGTTTATGCAGTTGTTATTTAACTCTATCAGAGAAGAAGAGACACGGCATGAATCAATGAAAACAGCTTGTTTATTGCTCAGTTTAGATGTATAAATAAAAACAGGACTCTTTCTGGTAGAAGACCATGTTTAGCTGTCTGGGTAATGACGTCCTCCCGCAGCAGCTGCTCTCTTCTTTAAATAAACACATTTACTCCGAGTAAATAACTTGATTTAAACTCCAGCATCAGCTGCTCCATTGCTGCTTGTTCTTAAAATTGTACGTTTCCTCGGCAGGTGAACAAAACCAAACAGAAAACATGTTCTCCACTCTGACTTTGGGACGAAATAACCAGACGTCACGCAGCATCAAAACACTCTGACACACACACTGAAAGTAATAAAAATGAAAACGGGTTCTACAGACGATTGTCGTGCTCGTCACCTGAACTGCACCTCATTCATCTTCAGAGTCTGTATTTCTTTGTAGAGCTCTACTGTAGGAGAAGTACAACAATACAAGCAAGTGAAAGTACCACTCTGTCAGACTGATGGAGCTGCTGCAGGTTTCCAACTTTTAACCCTCCGAACTCCAAAACCCGCCGGCGGGTCTGAAAGGCATTACTTTAAGAAAAAAACATTTAAAAAACAACAACATGGCACCATTTATTCTCCAGAAAGTGTAAAAGCTTTGCGTCCTTAAACGACTCGTGTGTGACGTACTGTTTTATTGGGAAACTTAACGAAAACTAAGCCTAAAATGTAGATTTTCGCATAAAAATCTGTTGATGCTGCACGTCTCGTTTAAAATTTGTCAGAAGTCTGTAAAAGACAAAAAATTCTGCACTCATCAGCACTATTGTGAAGTCATGAGTGATCCAGCTGTGACTAAAAGTCATGTGACGAAAACACTCTTCACCTGACGAGTATAAAGACAAATGAATAATGTAAGCCGATATCTACAGCATGTGGAGCTGCTGGGTTTTCTTTTTTTTCTAGTATTGTGGGCACATGGAGAAACGTTGCACATGTTGATTCCAGGTTTCTTCAATTTCTGTAAAATAAGTAATCCAAGAATGTAAACATTTATTTTCAAAAATGTTTTATGGCATCATAAGTGTGTCAAAGAGTACAGAAGACATTTCTGAGTTCTTTTTCCTTCTTCGTGTTGTTCCGTCTCCATGGAGCTTCAGACTGCAGTGAAAAATGAGCAAACAGTGAGAAAAATGTGACAGGAGCAAAAGAAAGAAAAAAAAAAAAAAGGCTGGAAGCAGCTTGGAGTTCAGAGGACCAAGAAGAAAACCTCCTTCAGTTCTCCTCTTTTTCTTCTTCGTTGGTGTTTGTCATCCTTTTTGCCACAGTGAGTCCAAACCTGATCTTCAACAGATCAAAGAAAAGGTCAAACAAAAAGGTTGAATAAAAGCAGAAACGTGAAAAACTGATGTTCCCTGTGAGCGGCATCTTTGTGATGAACATGAGCAGGATCAGACTAAGTTTTCACGTTGGTTGCACTGGTGCACCCGTGATTGTCATCTGGGTCTTATTAGATATTATATATTACGTATACTATAACAGTAAATGATTGTAAACAGGAACAAAGGTGCAGATAAATGTTTTGCTCTTTTTCATCAGGATAATCTGAGACTTGCTTCTTGAGACCTGAAGTTGCTCTTCTTTGGTTTTATTGCGAGCAAAGGTGACTGTTATCATTTCTGATCCCTCACTGCTTTAGTAAACTGCTTAATTACTTTGAAAACAGCTAAATCAGGTGTTCAAATGTCAGATTTACCTGAAACCAGGTGATTTTATCAACCTGACGGACCTGCTAAATGTCAGGAGCACCAGTGACCAGTGAAGAGTTTAGTCCACCTGACAGATCTTTGGTCGCACGCTGAGCCCTGAAGATGGAGGTCATGAGGTGAAGGCAGGTTTCATTCAGCAGCGAAGACGTTCAGTGACGTCCCTGCTTCTTCTTGAAGATCCTATTGAAAGCGTTTCTCCTCCGGCTGCTGGTCGACTCGGCCTCCTCGCCTCCGTCCTCCTCTGCAGGGCTCCTCCTGGCTGCTGGCTGGAGCCCCGTCCCCCGAGCGCTGCCCGACGAGCTGGACGAGGCGGAAGACGAGAAGACGGCCGGTCTGTCGGTGGCATCCGACGTGATGCAGAGGGAGCGGGTGGAGCAGGAGGCGGCAAGGACGGCGGCGGAGCTTCCCCTCAGCTCCACCAGGCTGGAGCTCTTCTCCAGGCCTCCTCCGATGAGCCCGGAGCCCGGCTGCAGGGGGTGGAGCCTGGAAGACAAGGGGTGGGGCTTGGAGTAGTACAGGCCTCGTGATTCGCTGTGAGACAGCGGGAGGGCGGAGTCAGAGTCAGAGCGGTTCATGATGTCCCTGAAAGAGAGAAAGTTATATTTATACATTTATGAATCAGTCTGCGTTCGTCTCATGCTGCCGTCAAACGGAGTTAACGGTTGTGATGCGAAGTTGTGGCACCAGATGTTTGGAAGCTATCAATGCTAACCTGGAACAGCCATCTTTAAACAGAGGAGGGGGTAACTTATGTATACGTATACTTATGATGCAGGTTCACCACCTCTGAGCCGAGTCATTTGGATCAATCATAAACACTTACAGCCCGCCGCCATTCCCCAAATAGAACTCGTGAGTTGGGACGTTACTTCGGCCACAGAGGCTGTTCCAGTTCAACAACTGTGTTACTAGAATACGGATGTTTTTTCGTTGGCAGACCGAGTCTTGTAATCATTAATGAACATGCTCATTCATGGGGGAAAGGTTCAGAAGGATGCAATGCAGCAAAGCAGGAAGAAAGCCCGGTAAACTACGGAGGCCACAAAGTCCCGAAATACGCTTTAAACATTTTGTTTGCACAAGATATGCACAAACTTAAAGACTATATTCCTGTTGAGACTTTGAGAGCTCTGCAGGAAACTGCAAGTGAGAAAAAACTTTATTAGTAGCCCTGAAATCCCCTTCGGAGGTTGTAAATTCTGACCAATCAAAAAACCTGCCCAAACTGAATCCTGACCATCGCAGACTATAAATGCAAAACAATAGTAACATTTTCTAATTCGAAGTTCTTGTCTACATCCGGACCACTCATAAACTGTGTTTTGTGTAACTTATGAATCGTGACCACTCCTTAAAATTCTGCTCATTCATGCAACTTAAAGTCTAGAGGCCTGGCGAGTTGTAGAATTTCTACATTCTATATTCTTAAGACTTGCAAACTGTAAATTCTCACAAAGTCTAAATTCTTAACACGTGTAAATCTCCTAAACTCGAAATCCCGACTGTTCGTACATTTAAATTCTGAACACGTGTAAACTACAAAAACTTTGTAATTCTGTTTTGCAAAGTTGATCAATTCTGACCACTTGGAAACTCAAAACTCTGAACACTTGTAAAATTCATAGTCGATCCACTCGTATGAAGTATAAATTCTAACGACTCGTTAATCTCAAATCCGGACTTTTGGTGAAAACTTCGTAAATTCTGGCCACTCAAACTCTGAATGTTCGAAAGCTCTGAATCCTAAACACTCGTAAAGTCAGATTGTGAGCGCTCAGAAATTTAAATAAGCTACAAATCCCGACCGTTGATAAACTCTGATTTGCAAAATCCGTAAATTGTGACCACTCAAAATCTCAAACTTTCTGAAAGTTCGTAAACTCTACGTCCTGACCACTCGCGTAACGTAGAAAAATCTTGTAAATTGCAAAACGTAGCAATTCTGTTTTGCAAAATTCTTAAAGTCTGATCACTTGTAAACTCAAAACTCTGAACGAAAAATAAAACTCATGCAGTCTAAATCCTAACCGCTCATATCATTTACACAACTCATGAAGTTGAAATTAAAAAAAAATTCGTAAACTCCAAATGCTGGCTGCTTGTAAATTCAAAACGTTTCGAAAATCTCGTAAACTCTGACCACACCGAAGACCTTTTTGTTATCTTGTTAGTGCATCAGTATGTTTGGAAGACAAGTCATGCAGAAGAAGATACCCGAAGCTGCCGGAGCGACAGCGCTGCCTCCGGCTGCCTGCAGCGCCCCCTGCAGGTGGGAGGCCAGACGCAGCCTCTGAAGTGTGGAAGTAGGAAGAACGAAAGAGCAGAGCGGAAAAACGAGCAGCGGCGCCATCAGAGGACGGGGGAGGACCGACGGGGAGGGAGGGGTGAGACAGGGAGGAGGAGAGGGGGGGAGGGGGAGGCACGGGGAGGAACTCCAGCTGGCCAATCGAGCGACTGCGATTCTGCCGGCCGCTGGGAGGGCGGGACGATGTGACTGGGCCACGCCCATCCTGCTGAGGCAAGCCCCGCCCCTCAACCAACCTCTGGGAGCTGAAGGCCAGAGCGGGGTCACCCATCCGCGGTCGCAGGGGCATCAGACTCTGAGCTGCAGGAGACGGAGAGGCAGAAGTTACACCTTAGACCGGCATGAAACCCAAACCTGAGGGCTGAACGACGAGGCCGGTTTGACAGTCGGCTTTGTTTGTGTTAAAAAGCAACTAAAAGCCCATCAGAGATATCAGGTGTCATTAAGGTGGTTTAATTAGTTAACTACAGCTCTCTGCTTCAGACTATGTTCACATAAAAAGAAACTCGTCACGTGACTCTTCTTCTGCACAAAACAATCGTGTGCAGTCAACAGGTTGTTTTAATCTAGAACAAGGCATTTTTAAAAGAAGTGCTGCTGCTGCTAACAAAACGGTTAATCGTATGTTAACATATTTATTTTACTGATCAACGCAGCTGCTTTTTTCTAACATGATGTTGCATTGAAGTGCATTTCGGTCTGACGCCGTCCCATAAGGAAGGAAACCAGTTTCATTTTTGGCCAGATCAAAGCAAAATTAATGTTACTGAATGTTCTCTGTAATAACTACCAGTAGAATACAGTCTGTGTTCTACCAGCTGCAGTACCAGCATGTAACCGGACCGAACATAAAAACATATTTATGCGATTTCTGCATCATGAGCTGAGTGCATGTCGGGTTCCCATGGCAACGTGATGCATCCAGTGTGTGATGCTGAAACTAAACGGCTTCATTTGTTGGATTTAGCAACGTTCAGATCAACAGATTTGCAGATAAAACATCAGCTGAGAATCTGAATCACTCAGAGAATCGTCAGGAAACGATTTGGTTAAAGGCGATTTTAAATCAGAAACTCCGGGTTAGCTCCACAGCATCAGTTACCATGGAGACGTAGCAGGTCCAACGACCTTCGTGACACTGAAAACTCTGACTTTAAATCCAACTAACAGCTTCGTAGTTCAGCCCTCAGACAAAACTTCAGAGGACAAAGCGCCACGTCTTCGAGAGCACAAAAGCAAAATGCAGTTTGATTTCACAATTTCAGTTTCAGCAGCCAAACTTTGAAAAGTCTTTGAAAAAGTGCCACTCGTCGATGAATTTCTTTTCTCTGCCTGCTTTGAATACATTCGACTTCATCTCATCTTTTGTGGTTTTGCAGCCTGTCGTACGATTCTTCACATCGATCTCTGCATTAACTACTTAGTGGTTCTTAACTTCAGGAGCCCTCCACTGACATCATTAACCTTCATACTGTGAATATTCTCAGAGTTACAGGCCCTTGAAGTTCATACAGGTCCAGATTCAGCACTGTCATGGACTTTTTCCATCATTTCTGAGCCTCAGAACGTCATCAGTTCAGCAGATAGACACAAAAAACCACATCCGAGTTCTGCTGAACACTGCAGCCAGATCAGTTTTACATCCATCCAGGTGTCCAGACAACGTTCATCTATAACCAACTTGAGCATCCATATTATGGGATGTATCACAGAACTGATTCCTTCTGTGGTAAAATAAGTACAATTAAAAGCATTTTAATCCATTGTCATGTACTTCAGTGGCCGGTAATTCTGAAAGTATTTATTGTATGAAGGTAAAACTTTACGTGGCTTCATACAATCTGTAAAACAAACTGATCGTGAACTGGTTCGACGTGTTTCTCTGATTGATTTTTAATGGACTGAACCGCCACCCATCAAGTTATGTCTTAACTTTAATTGATTTAAACTGGGTGCTATTTGTTGATTACACAAAAGTAGATCAGTTACAAGACGTTTGTCATTCAATTAGAGTTTCAGTGTTGATTTGGTCGAGTTATTAGTCGCTTCTGTAGCGACAGAAGTTGGCTGTTAAAGCCGGTGATCCAATAAATGTATTGTTTTTGCCACTCATTGTTGACTTTTACCTGCTGCTACTCCAATATGTTTAGCTTTGTGTTTGAAATATGTAATAATAATAGCAGTAAATTATCAATTCTAACTATATAAGAGAATGTATTTGGTGAAAAAAACAAACCACAAACTCGGTGCTTTTAGCTGCTGCAAACAAGTAAGTGGATGTTAGTGGGAGCAGAAGGAGGAGCTGCTGTTAAGATATTGCTGTTTTCCAGGTGTTCAGAGTGGAAAAGGTGAAGACGAGACTGAAATCTTCCAGAAAACATCCGACCAGACGTGGAGGAAGGTGGAGGAAGAGGAGGAGAAAGCTGCACAGGTGAGGAAGCGTCCACACGAACACCTGACCGCCACGTTCAGTCTGAAGCTAAAACGCTTTCATTCGCCAGCGTTGACTGACTGTCTTCACTCAACTGAGATTTAATAATCATGTTTACTTTTTTTTTTTCTTTTCAGGCCTGTTTCTGCCGGTAAACGAATGATTAAATAAGAAAAGTTGTTGCGATTTATAAAATATTAAAAATAATAAAGTAAAAGTTACAATTTGAACATAGCAAATCAAAATGATTAAATAAAAGTTCAAATTTGACTTTGACTTCACAATTATAGCTTAAAAATAATCTAATTTAAATATAAATCGAATTTGCACTAAAAGTAAAACAAAAGAAAAAGGAATGTCAGTCACAACTGAAAATAAAACCCCAAAAATTCTAAAATTAGAACCTCCAATGTCAACGTAGAAAAAAAATCTAATTTGACTATTTATCTTATTTTCATGGAGTTATTGGAAATAAATACATAAAATAATAAGGAAAAATCAGTAAAACTTTAAGAAAAGTGGGAATGCAAAAATGAATAAATTATAAAAAAAGAATTTTCATTAATTTTGATATTTATTTATTTCAGTTTATTTGTATTTAGACATTTTGAATTTTTTTTAATGCTTAAAATTTTTCAAAACCAATTTTTGTATATCTAGTTTTTTATAATGAGCAAATTATAAAAAAAAAAGTGAAAATACAATTTTTATTTACATACTTTCACTTTAGGGTGGAACTATAATGGGAAAAAAAGGTAAAATATATATTTTTTTAAAACACAAAGATTTTAATTTATTTTAACATTTGTTCATTTATATTAGTTTATAGTTATTTAAATGTTTTGAAAAATACATGTTTTTTTTATATTTAAATTACTATTAAGGAACTCTTTATTATTGAATACAAAGTAAAATAAACATTATTTTTCATTTCAAACTTAAACTTTTTTATCTCAGATTTTTTTACGTATTTTATTTTTTAAAGCAGATTATTTTCTCTGGCTTCAACATAAAAGTGGCTGAACTCCAGCACTGCAGGTTCAAATTTTAACTTTACAGTTTATTTATGGTTCCAGATTGTAAGAGTTCAGCTTTTTGTTTTTCAGTAACGCCGTGTTCAGTCTGACGTGTCAGAAATGTTCGTGTGGACGTTGATTCATGCCTCTGTTTCAGGATAAAGTCACACAAGGTTCTTCCACTTCGACGGCAGTTTAATGAGTCGCTTTTATTTTTTAGTTTTTTTTCCTGATGTTCGGTGAATTTGTTGTCTGATTTGTACGGAGCTCCAGAGACGTCACAATGGGAATATTTTTTGGAGTCACATTTTCTCTGACCTACAGAGAACAGCTCAGCAGTATCGTGTATTTTATTACCCACGATGCCATTTTTTCTAATTACTTACTTGTCACTAACAAACGTACTGACATTTGCAATCATTTATTGATTCATTCATGAAAGCGTTGAAAACAACTTTATTACGTTACTATATTACGGTAAAAAGCAACAGAAATTATACATTAACCCTTTAATCAGCAAATTAAAATGAAACTGAACTAAACAAATATCTTATTATGAAAATGAAATGCTTCAAAAAATACTTAAAGACGAATCTTTGCTCAGTTTGATCACTGAATTACCTCTACATATCATTAAACGTTATTTAAATATTTAGTTTTTAAATAATCTTAAGTAACTTGTTTTTTAAACATAAATATTTTATTTTTCTTCCTCAAGAATATTATAAAACCATATATTACATTAAAATTGTATCCATCAAATGCTAAATTATTTAAATGTTTTTGTGCTTGAAATGTTTACAGAACAGTTTTTTAATTCTAATATAATATAAATAATAATATAAATAACAGAAACATATAAATAAAATACAACACACGTATAGATATAAAGTAACACGAATAATACATCTGATTTTTGGGTGAAACCTATATTTGGTTGTTGCGTGTAATAATACATTGGTACATTTTTTGTTATTTTCTTCAGAGACATTTTAAATAATTTATTACATCATTTTATTTTATCATTTTATTTCAATTATTTTGTATTCAAATGGTATGCACAACTTAAAAATAAGGTAAATCCATTTGTTGCATCAAATAATTAAACATAGAAGAATTCACGTTTATTTAATCTAATTAATTAATTAAATTGTCCTTGTCTTGCAGAATTATTTCTGTATATTTTATACAAGTATTTGAATTTTTTTTCTTTAGAAATATTTTTATAGTTGATTTTTATATTTATCTGGACATTAAGTTTTTTAATAAAAAACAAGATAAACACATACTTCTGTATATGACGTACTGGAATATAAATATTACAGTATTTACTTATTTTATTTATTTTTACATTAACCCTATATATTCCCCGTTATGTGTTGATGAGCAATTAAATGATCTCAATAAAAACTTTTCACGACAGTCTCGTAAACGCTTTGATTTTAAAGACGCGTTTTTCTTTTTCCTGAATCTTTGGGAGTCGAGTGGGAACCCTGACTGAATTTAAAGTAGCTCGTCAATCACAGGACGGCATGATCTGATTGGTCAGGTCGCACAGAGGTATGAACCAATCACAGAGGAGGAGAGAGGCCAAGGAGGGAGGGGCCAACCCGATTGTTTCCATGGTGACTGGGTGTCTGCGATGCCGCCCAGAGGCCAGAGGTCGCTGACTCGCCGGTCCATCTGCCACGCTGCGTCTGGAGGGAGCCAATCAGGAGAGAGATGCTGAGACAAGACGGCCAATCAGAGGAGGAGGCGGAGCCACCAGATGAGGTCACTTTGTTTTTTGATGTTTTTAATTTAAAAGTCGGCTGAGAATCATGTGACTCTGTCGTGAAGTTTGTCCCTTCTGAGCCTCCGTAGGAAGCAGAAGGACGCAGCGATTTTCTTTATTTATTCCTAAATGTCGCTTTAAATAGAAAGAAAGAAATAGACGTATAGAAAGTGTTTAAATGAATGTGAAGGTCGTTAATGTATTTAAAACGTTCCTGCAAATATACCTGTACGTTCACAAGGCGTTTTTAAAGATTTATATTATCAGCTTCAACTGACTCAATATACGACATAAATCAGTATAAATATCTGACTCAAACAGCCTGTTCTCTCTTTAATTTCATAAAGTGTGTTTTGCAGAATTACTTGTATATATGGCACAAATGAATATAAATATCAGATAAATTATTTAACAAACCCTAAAATTAAAAAAAAACTTAAAATAGAAAAAAACCCAAAAAACTCTGTGTCTTTTAGGGACTTCTGTATACGGTATAACTGAATCTAAATATTAAAAAAATATATTTTTAAATAATATGCTGAACTATTTTCTTGTGAATGACTTGTTTCTGTTTGATGTAATTTTTTAAAATCTTTTTTTACATTCATCTTTTATATTCAGTCAGTAAAGGGACATTCTAAATATTACATTCGTTTCTCTAAGTGTGTCTTGAATCATAACTAATTTAACTAATTAATTTAATGTAAGTATTGCACATTATTCGCTTAAAGTAAAAAAAAAAAAACACATTAAATTAAAAACTTATTCATGTATTTTATCTCCATTGAAATTCACGAGTGTCAGTTTACAATTTTCTTTATTATATTTCTTTACAGTTCACTTCTCGACAACTAGTTTGCTCACTTTGCTCCAAATGGAACTAAATTACCAGTTAATAGCAGCTGTGATGAAAACAGCTGGAAGAAGCTTTTATTAATTCCAAAACAACACTTTTTAACGTGTAATTTCTCGTATTTGTAGTTAAGCGGCTGCACTCCGGTGTCCACGCAGCAGGGGGCGCTGCAGGCTACTCAGGAGGAATAAAGCTTTCACCTGTTTATGGATTAAAAATTAAACGATCTCTTAGTCATGATTCGTCATTAAACGGGACCAAATGTGAGTCTCCATCAGCAGAACTGATCGTCTCCTTGGTGACTGAAGTCTGATCGTTCCGGTTAGTGATGCAGGAGCTACTGCGGGATCATAACGCAGGTAAATGTTAATATGCGAGTCGTGTGAGTGCACTGAGGTCCGCCGATGTGTTTCCAACGGACTTACACTGCAGCGTCCCAGGAGACAGGATGTCCTCGTCCATGTCGTCGAGGTCGTCCGAGAGCAGCAGGTGCTGAGGGGTCGGAGGTCGCAGGCCCAGGAAGGACGGGTCCAGGTTGAGGGCGGTGGCCAGCGCTCCCAGACCCGGATTGTTGACCAGACCGAAGCCGCTCAGAGACTCGATCTGCTGCCAGCGGTGGAGCTTCTCCCTCAGCGCCGCCGTCACCTCGGCCAGGGCCTGTCTGAGGGGGGAGGGGCGTTAACCTGTGCAGGTGAGAGCCGACCTCCGGCAGGTGACCCAGAGCTGCCCTTAATCCGCTAAGCAGTGTTTCACTTCTGGTACATTGTCACTCACTGTGGGCTCATTTTTCACTGCAGCATGAAGACCTGCACCTCTACGGAAACAGCACAACTATGACTAGAAGGAAAGAGAACTTTGAAATGTCTTGTGTGCAGTGCGACACAGTTAGGACGCCATAAATCAAGATTTTAAAAAGTGCCCACAGGTGTTACTATTGCTAGAAAATAGTGCCTCCACATACCATAGCTATTCAACTATTTGAATTTTCAGAACCTCCACAAACGCAGCATGTTTCCTGCTACTCTGCACATCAGCTCTAGAAAGATGTTTCACCATGTGGAATGTATCTTCCACCAGCATGCTCCTCTGTTGACCGTTTCTGAGCCATGCTGTGTTTATTTTATTGATCCAATATGTTTTACTTTCCTCTCAGTCTCTGCTCTGTGGAAACTCTGCCTGCAGGTCACGCCTAAACATCTCAGACTTGTTGTGAAATGACTGTTGGTCGCAGACGAGTCAGTCATGGCTTCATGGTTGCAGAGAAAAGTGCAGAATTTTTTTTATTTTAACAGCGTGCGCAAAAGCGAAAGCTTTATGTTTGACAATTGTAAAAAAATATTTTAAGGCTTAGATTCATTTAGTTTAGCCCTCATGGTGAGTTAACGGACCGTTGGAAATCTGATAACTCTCTCTGTTGCTATGGTTGTTAAATGGTGTCATTTTTCTTTTTTTTTTCTTTTCTTTTTTAAATATAACATCTGCATGCAAATTTTAACATTCAGAGGGTTAGTTTGCTGCATTTTGGGGGTAATTTTGGTTACTTCACTCTGATTTTTAACAGAATCTGGTGCAAACGCGAGAGAGAATTTTTTAAAGAAGTGTGTAGAACAAGTGATTCTGCTCAGATTTGGTTGATTTTCCTGAAGGAACAACCCGGTGAGCAGTTCAAGGACCGTCAGAAAGTTGAACGTCTGATGATTCAGTCTGTTTTTCCAGTTTCCAGTTGATAACTGGAGTCATTTTGGAGACTTTTTCAAAAGAAAACATGCCTTTCAAACCCCTGTGCTCTTGTTTCTACTTTGCTGAGTTCAGATTGCTCTCAGGTCTCTGCTTTAGAACAACCCAGCCTGAAAGACGGCGTTGTTGACGGATTAACCCGGTGTAGCACTTCACTCACAGACCTCGGCCTCATGAGATAACGGCTGTAACTCACTTTGCAGAGAGGATCTTGTGGTCGACGTCGTCCAGCGAGGAGCTGTGAGCCACATGAAACGTCCCGAACAGAGAGCTCCTCTTCTTCTTAATCTTCTCTGCCTGAAACGCCGTCACCATCAGAGTTAGCGTTGTGTGTCCTCACCTCACCAAACGCCACCAAAACCCCCAGTTTACTAGAGCCGCAACTAACTAAAGGGGAGGGTACGCATTTTCATAATCAATAGTTATTTTCCTTAATAATCAATTATTCAGGGAACAAAATGCACCAAACAGCGACTTGCGTTCATGTTAATGTATTCAGATGCTTTGTTTTGTCTGACAAACCATCAAACAAGCAAATATTCATCATCTGTGAAGCTGCTACCAGAGAAATTAGGCTTAAAAATTACAATAAATAATGAAGATGATGCTGTGTAATCCCTGCGGTGCTGCTCAGTATCTCAGGTCGCACCATTTGGTCGCCCCCCAACACAAATACTAATTAAATCACCTTATAGCGATTCCAGACTTGATGTTAATGAAATATTTTAATCTGAAAATACATACCTGTAGTCAGCAGTCCTTCTCTGACGTCACTACTATAAACCGGTTTCAAGCTAAACTCCTCACACTACAATTTACAGATGTTCCCTAAACGCCTCACATGCGGGCTGCGGTAAATGTTAGCCACTCAGGCAGCTGTGCGACTACAAGTTAGTTGGAAAAGCGTGAAATAATTCGCTCTGATGTGAGATTTGCACAAGCTGGAACTAAACGATTTAGCTGTAAGAAGCCAAAATCCTGGTCGCTGTTGATATTTAATTTTCCATCGTGATACTTTTTCTCTTCCTGCTTCAACCAACCTCCCTCCTCAATTTGTTTTTTAAAATTATCTATGGACACGTCGTCAGTGGAACATTAAACAAATGGATTAGGAAGGTGAAACTGGGCCAATAAAGAAGAAAAAAAAGCAGGATTTTTAACCACTAATTGTAGCGCCGAAGACCGGACGGGCTTCAAATCAGCCAAATCATCATCATACACAAGTGTCCATCCATCCATTATCTATACACCGCTTAATCCTCAGTAGGGTCATGGGGGGCTGGAGTCTATCCCAGCTGACTCAGGGTGAAGGCAGGGGACACCCTGGACAGGTAACCAGTCTATCACAGGGCTACACTTAGAGACAGACAACCAAGCACACTCACATTCACACCTACGGACAATTTAGAATCACCAATTAACCTCAACATGTTTTTGGACTGTGTTGGAGGAACCTGGAGAACCCGGAGAGAACCCACGCTGCACGGGGAGAACATGGAGACTCCATGCAGAAAGATCCCAGGTGTCCTCACCAGGACATGAACCAGCGACTTTCTTGCTGCGAGGCAACGTGCTAACCACTGATCCACCTTGCAGGCCCCATACACAAACGTGACCATGTGAAATTTTTAACTGGCACGCTGTCAAGAAGGCATGCAGCTTGTTGGTTGCAGTGTGGAGGTCAACGAGCCGCCCTCACCCCCTCTCTGGCCTGCAGCAGCTGCCTCTCGGCGCTCTGCTTCTTGATGTTGTAGTACTGAACTTCGATCTCATGCGTCAGCTGCAGCCATTTCTGCAGAGCCTCCGGCGGCGCCCAGCGAGCCCTCGACTCCAGCTCCCTCTCCGCCTTCCTCAGCGCCGTGCGGACCTGCGACAGAGGACACAGAGACGGTTAATCGATCCGTCGGTCGATCGACAGCGAGCTGATCAATCGGATCTACCTGCTCCAGCTCCTCCTCGGCGTATTTCTGCCGGCTCCTCTCGTTCTCGGTTCCCTCTCGGAGCTCGCGGAGCCGCTGAGCCTCCTGCTTGGCCGAGTTGATCTCGCCCCTCAGCTCCTCCTCCACCTTCACCTTCTCCACCTGAACGCAGCGCTGCTCCTCCTGCGCCTGCTGCAGCCTGACAGGAGACAACAGTCGGTTAAACAAGCGCCCCTGAACGCGTCATCGAGTTCAAACAAAGAAGCAGTGATTATAGCAGCGGCAGGAGAAGAAGCCACGAGTTTGCTGAGTATTGTTTTATCGACCTCTGAATTTGTTATCCATTTTGTGACCTTCAGTTTTGTTCTGAAGTTCGTTTCATCAAAACAGTTTCTCCATCTTTTAGCTAATCGATTAACTGCGGTAACGCCGACTCTGTGTTTTTAACCTCCCGTCACATTTTTACTCACTGCAACATAAAGTCCTGCACCTCTATGGAAACATCACAACCATGAAGGAGGAAGAACTCAAAAATATCCTCTGTGCTGTATGACACAGTTAGAATGCCGCAAGTTTTAATTTTTTTTTTTTAAAAGAATGAAAAAGTTTACGTCTTTATAAAACGATGGAATCAACATTCTTGGATGTTTCACTGTGCTGAATGTATCTTCCAACAACTTGCTCCTCTGTTCGCTGCATTTGTTTTATTGATCCAGTTTGTTTGATTTTCCTCTCGGCTCTGTGGAAACACTGCCTGCAGTTCACCTGAACACTCTCAGGATTATTGTCTGCTGACTGTTGGTCACAGCTGAGTCACTGACGGCTTCAGGGTTGCACTAAGGAGTGTGGATTTTTTAATTAATTATCCCAGAATCTGGTACAAACACTTTGTTTTTGTTGATTTTTTTATTATCGTTTGTAAAATAAGGCATGCAGAATAATCAGATGTTGATGCAATTTCAGAATCTCAAAGAAATAATAATAATAACAAAACTTAGATTTGCAAAATTGTCCTAATGGAACTAGTTCAAAGATCCTAAGAAACCTAAAAATCCAGTGAGTCTTGATGTTTGTGCAGTTTCTAGCTGATAAATTGTGTCATTTTGGTGGTTTTCTTTTAAAGACAACATGCCTTCAAATGTTGTACATATCGTAGTCGACCCCACAAACAATTATGAAGCATTCGATGAGTTGCTAATGGCTTCACGGTTTTGCTGAGGACTGCAGCAGTTGTTTGTTTTTGTTATTTTTACAGGATCTGTTTCGTGCAAATGGTTTGTTTTTGATGAGTTTGTAAAAGAGAGCGTGAACTGATTATGAAAATAATCCATCGCTGCCAAAGTACCAGCAGCCGTACTGTGAGTATAACGTGAAGTACAAGTATTTGTTTGGGGAAACTGCAGGCCCAGTGTGTGATTTATCATGTTACAGCGTGACTCCGTGTGTGTGTTGTATATACTGTACGTGCTGTCTGCTGTATGTCAGTGTGTACATGCAGGTGTGTGTGTGTTTGAGCTGCTGGCTAATCTGTGCCCATATAAGGACTTAAGACAGAAGGCATCTGCACAGGCCGTCCACACACACACACACACACACACACACACACACACACACACACACACACACACACACACACACACACAGAGTAGATGAGTTATTTCCTTCTGGCCGCTGCAGCTCACTCAGTTTTAATTACATGACATTAGGAAATAAACCGAGCGAGTGTGTGTTTGCTGCGTTTCTGAGAGCAGAAATGGTCGCGCTCATACAAGCAGGCTGAAGCATGGAGTTGTTAGTGATTACTGGGAATCAATGAATTGCAGTCGATAATTGAACCGATTCAAAATACATTAACCGATAAGGTGGAAGACGTGTCAGAGAAATGTGCCGTTGATCCGCTGCAGTGCCTGGTTGTTCCACCAGGTGGAGCCTCTTACTGTTCGATGCCCGACGAGGTACGTCGGACTACAGGCAGCTTCGTGTTGGCAAGCAGAGAGCATTGTGGGAGTTTAGCTAGCAACAGGCACCATGACAAAGTCCTCCAGATGTTTAATGCCTCAGCGCGGTATGACAACATTACTGTGGTCACAGGAGGTCATGTCGCACGGTCACATTCGAAGCAGCTGTATCAAGAGACAGATTGATCTACTGAGTTCATTTTGTGTTATTGATTAATCGATTATTAATTAATAAGGCTTCAGGTACCAACTGAACATCAACCTGACGCCCACCGACTGAATCTGATATGCCTTGGTCCAGTGAGAAGGTTTGATCTCCGGTTGGGTTTAGGTTCAGCTGGTTCAATAAATATACCAACACAAACCGGCTGAACCCGACTGGACCTGGACCCAACAGATTTCCAGTTCAGTCGGGACACGTCAGGTTCAGGTCCAGTCAGAGTGAACCCGAGACCAGATTTTAAAACTTTCATACCCATCGAACTTGACATGTCGGGTTCAGGTCCAGTGACTCCGGTTCAGGCTCAGTCTAAACATTTATTGACCGAACCTGATCAAACACAAACCTGACACACGCTGACTGAACATGACACAGACCAGTTAGTTCTGAATCTAAAACGTACTGACAGAACCTGAACCTGAACCTGAACCCAACCTTGACTCAGTACTTCTCAGGAGGTTCTGTCGGTGCATCAGTTCAGGTCCAGTTATGTTTAATTGCACTGACTGGATCTGAAACGTACCGATCAAACCTGACAACAGAATTGACAGGTTCACTCTGTAAGGTTCAGGTTCTGTTGGTACCTGACAGGTTCTGCCGGTAAATATCCGCTTCTGTGTCTCTGCTGTATAATTTTACTTACTTCTCCTGCAGGTCCAGCAGACTCTGCTCAGCCCTCTGCAGACCCTCCAGGTCCTTCACCAGCTTCCCCAGGTCGTCTCTGGACTTCCGTGTCTGGACGTAGGCGAACCAGCAGCCGGCCAGTGCCATGAGGATGGACATGGCCAGAACCAGGTCCTTCAAGCGGTTCTGTCGCCCTGCTTACATAATGTAGACACACTACTTATACAAACATGTTCACTTCCATGTTCTGCCTTTATCTCTAAATAAATGAAGGAATCCGAGTGTCTCGACAACTGTTCAGACCTGTTCAACCTCAGACTTGGCAGGTGGATCACAGGAAGTACAGCGTCGGGTCTGCCGTTGTTTGGATGAGCAATGGCTGTTTATTGGGTCTTTTTTTGTGTGTGTGTGAAATATGAGGGCAGATATCTACCGGCAGTTTAATTGTACTCTACCTTCTACAGCCTCAGAGGCATTATTTACACTCAAATGACAGATCAGGAATGTGTCTAGATATACATTTATATATGTACACACTCACCAGTCACTTTATTAGGTACATCTGTTCAACTGCTCGTTAAATATCTAATCAGCCAATCACATGGCAGCAACTCAGTGCATTCAGGCAGGTAGACGTGGGGAAGACGACCTGCTGAAGTTCAAACCGAGCATCAGATTGAGGAAGAAAAGGTGATTCAAGTGGCTCAGGCTGGTCTGTTTCAGGAACTGTTTGTCTACTTTCTCACACAAACGTCTCTAGATTTTACAGAAAACTGTCTGACAAAGAGAAAATATCCAGTGAGTGAAAACATGAGGTCAGAAGAGAACGACTGGTTCAAGATGATAGAAAGCCAACAGTAACTCAAGTAACCAACCAAACTATGCAGAAGACCGTCTCTGAACACGCAACACGTCCAACCTTGAGTCAGATGATAACTAAGAACAATAAACTGAGGCTACAGTTCACCAAAACTGGACAACAGAAGGTTGGAGAACCACTGCTTGGTCTCAGTTTCTGCTGCAACATTCAGATGGTCAGAATGAAACAGCATGAAAACATGGGTCCATGCTGCCTCGTATCAACGGTTCAGGCTGCTGCTGGTGTGACGGTGTGGAGGATGTTTTCTCGGCACACTTTGGCCTCTTTAGTACCAACTGAGCATCGTTTAAACTCCACGGCCTCCCTGAGTGTTGCTGCTGAACACGTCCATCCCTTTATGGCCACAGTGGACCATCTTCTGATGCTACTTCCAGCAGAACTCCGACGGCCTCCACAGCCACCAGATCTCCAACAGAGCAGCTTTGGGACGCGGTGAGACGGGAGATGAGCATCATGGATGTGCAGCCGACAAACTGCGTGATGCTTTCATGTCAATATGGACCAAAATCTGTAAGAAATGTTTCCAGCAGCTTGTTGACTCGACGCCACGAAGAACTAAGGCGGTTCTGAAGGCTAAAGGGGTCCAACCAGGTACTAGCGAGGTGGAGCTAATAAAGTGACCAGTGAGTGTTTGGATTTGCACCTAAACGTGTAAATATACACTAAACACATGTACTAAGTTAAATAATATGTCTCGTCTAGCCACAGCAGTTCATCCGCTCGTCGTCTACCTGCGCTGATGCTAAAATGACGACTAGAGACGCGAGTCGCTGACCTGGCGGCGGTCCGAACAGCACGATGTCGAGGGCTTTGAGCTGCAGCTTCTGGGCGTGGCTTCGGTCCACGATCTTCAGCAGGGACACGGTGAGTGTGGCGTTCTTCACCGCCAGCCTGCAGGAGGAGGAGGAGGAACAAGAGCGCCTGTGACCTTCAAACACTGGTGTGGTGCGTTCAGGGACAGTCAGAGTGTTGGGAACATCAGATAATGAGCCTGCTCAGGTTCTGCGAGTCGGTGATGTTTAATAGAGGAGCGGTGAGCCCGGTCACATGACCCCGGTGTCACATGGTTGTGTTGACTTGGTAAAAATAGATGAATGTGAGCAGAAAACAGGAAACTGAGTCAGTTCAACTGAAGAACTGAGTTTAACTGACGGCTGCTGTTTACAACAAAAACACTCAACGACTCCGTCTGTGCTGCCTTCTACACTTCCTTTCCTTTTTAACTCCTTTCCTACCCTCTATCTATCCTTTGTCCTTTCCTTCCTTCCTTTTACCCTTCTATCTATCCTTCTTTCATTCCATCCTTCTCTCATTTCTTCTGCAGTTATTTGCTTCCTTCCTCCCCTCCATACTTTCATTCTATCCTTCCTTCTTTCTGGCTTTCCTGTTTTCCTTCCTTATATCCTTCATCCTTTTCTTCCTTCCAGCCTTTTTTCTATTCTTCTTTAATTCTTTCTATCCTTCCTTCTATCCTTCGTTGTAATCCTTTGTTTCTTCATTTTTATCTTTCCATCCTTCTTTTCTTCTTTCCTTCCTTACATCTTTCTTGTCTTCTATCCTTCCTTTTTTATCCTTCCTTCCATCCGTCCTTCCTTTCCTTCCTTTTACATTTCTTCTTTCTTCAGTCTTTCATTTTATCCTTTCCTCTTATAATCCTTTTTTTCTTTCTTTCTTCCTTCCTTCCTTCTTTTTCTCCTTCATCATTCCTTCCTTCTCTCCTTTCATCAGCAGTTATTGCTTCCTTCCTTCCTTTCATTCTATCTTTCCTGTTTTCTTTCCTTATATCCTCCTTTCTTTCCTCCCTTGTATCATTCCTTCTCTTGCATTCATTCTCTTCTCTTCTCCCTTCTTTCCTTTTATGCTTTCTTCTGTCCTTCTTTATCTCCTTCCTTAACCTTTTATCCTTCTATCTTTCCTTCTATCCTTCCTTCGTTCCTTCTGCATTTCTTTGCATCCTTCCCTAGCTCCTTCTTACTTTCCCTCCTTCTATCCTTTATTTCCTTCCTTTCTTTTATCCTTCCTTCATTCTATCTATCCTTCCATATATCCTTCTTTCTTTCCTTGCTTGTATTATTCCTCCATCCTTCTATCTCTCCTTTTATCCTTCCTTCGTTCCTGTCTTTCATCCTCTCTTCTATCCTTCCTCCTAATCTTCTTTCCCTCTTTTTACCTTCTCTTCCTTCCTTGCTTGCTTTCCTTCACAGCCCTCTATAGCAGAAGACTCCTAATTTCTTCCTCCTCTGTGGTTTGAACTCGTCTGTTTGGATTCAGAGTCCCTTCACTTCCTGATGATGTCGTTATCTCTGAGGCCCATCAGAACAACCCAGTTCAGAAGTCCACTGAGGATCCGTCCGTTTCACAGTTTCCTTCAGCAGCACAGTGATCTCTGTCTGAACATCAGGATAATTCTGCGGCTTTAAACTGTACACGGTGTTCTATTAATCTGATATACATGTGTTTTATTGTTGGACGGTCTGTGTGGTTTAATGGCTTCGTTCTGCTTATTAAGGATCACTGTGTAGCTCTGTTTTTGATTACAAAGTTGTAAATAAAGTTTTTTGTGTGTGTGTGTGTTACCTGGGCAGGGCCTTGCCGTCGAGCTGGTGTTTCCTGAAAGCTTCTGCGTACTGAGGAAGCTCGACGCTGATGTGCAGCCAGTCCACCACCTGCTCCAGCGTCCAGTTATACACTGAAAACACACACACAGTCAGCACACCTGGTGCAGGTGAACACACTGGACGCAGGTACACAAACATAAAGGGTTGTGTCGCGAAGCTGGTTTGACATATTCGGCTTTCTTTGTGTGAGTCGGATCGACAAAAAAAATAAAAACAACCCAAAACAGAGCTGGAGCTGATTTAACTCAGAAACTCTGAATTTAACCAGGTTAGCTCCACAGCATCAGTTGCTATGGAGACGTCTCAGGTTAAAAGACCTAAAAACACTGAATTTAACCTCAACGTACCTCCTAACCTGCTAACAGCTTTGTAGTTCAGCCCTCAGGAACAGAATCCGTCGGTACGTTGTGCTACGTGAACAACCCCAGGTTTTTCTGCATCTTCTCTTCGCCTGTCTAGATAAATAAACATCGTCCTTCTTCTTGAGTTTCTACTTCTATCTCTATTTCAACAAACTGAGCTGGAAAATTAACGAGATCCAGAAATAGATTGTGTTTTTACACTCACTGTGTTTCTACTTTCTCCTGCAGCTTTACGGTCTTTTACTTTCCGTCACTCTCGTTTTTTACTGTCCTTCCCTCTATCCCTTCTCCTTTGCTATTCTTACCTCCTTGCATTTGTCCTTCCTTATATCTTCTCAACAGTACGTTCTTCCTTTCCACCTTTCCTTCTTTACTCTACTATATATTTTCTTTTCTGTTCTTCCTTCCATCTGTCCTTCCTTCCTTCCCTTCCACCTTTCCTTCTTCCTTGCCTTGATTCTCTCATGTCTTTTTGCTTTCCTTCCATCCTTCCATCCTTCGTCTTTTGTTTCTTCCATCTTTATTTCCTTCATTCCTTCTTTTATTTTTGCCTTCCTAAACACAGACTGTTTGTCTACCACTCTGATACGTCGCATCTCATCTGACAGACTTCGCTTTATTTCGGTTGAACCGGTTCCTCCTCACCTTCGGAGCTCTTCCAGGCGTTCCACATGTCCTCCACGCTGATGTGCAGGTCGGCTCGGTGGAAGCTGCTGTGTTTGGCTTTGGGGTCGTGGTACTTCAGATCCTCCCTGAGGAACTGAGGACATCCAGAGGTTTTATTCTCCATCAGTTAGTGAGCAAACGATCAAACCGGATCGCGCTCCAACTTCGGTCTCACCTCGTCTGTCTCCGTCATGTCCACCGTGCCGTCGGCGTCGTCGTCCATCATCTGGTGGATGCTGCAGATCGCCGCAAAGCTCAGGAGGGAGTTCTCATCCTGACAGAGCTGCGGGTCTATCACACACAGATCTACAACAGAGAACATCTATCA